CACCCAAACTGTGCAGCTATTTTTATTTTATTCCCCTCCCCTCCACGCTTCATAGAGCATGCTGTGCTCTATTTTCATTGTGCGGATAGCAATGATGGCCCTGCTAAAATTGGAACGGTTCTTTGCAAGTCACTTAATTCTCTAAAGAACAGGTCTAGGTCCTAGAGCCTAAAATGACAGTGGCTTTTCTCTTCCTTGTTGCTTTGACCATGTACCACAGCAGGTTTACACTTTGCCATTCTGGGTGGGAGAAATAGTGGAGTATTCTGTCAGAAACATTCCTAGAACAGATGCAGTGTAAACTTCTGTTTAAGGTCTCTGCTTGTTAGAGTTTTGTTAGAAGCACTGAAAGATTTAAAAGTTGAAGTGCTGTCACTTTCAATAGTGACAAATTCTGCCTTAATATCATTTGGTTTGTTTACTGTTGATACTTAGATTCTGTATCATAGTTCTAAGCAGCATCACCTGCAGAGGTTGTAGCTGTTGGCTGTCACATATCTCTAATTCTAGCACAGTGCTTTGATCCCCTGATTTTCTTAAAGGTAGCTTGTTACATCCTTGGAGACCTACTTTGTATTGTAGCATCATGTCAGAAGTATTAAGACAATAGTCCATTCTGTGATCTTACGAGTTAAGTTGTAAAGATGGCATAAAGCTCAGTGTGTATGGTTTGGTAAGGTCACAGAATAACTTGGCTGTCATATAGTCCATACTAAACCAGCCTCTTTAGCTCACTTCTTGGGACACAATACAGCATGGAGTTTGTGCAACACTAGTTGCTGGTTGTCAGAATACCTCTAACTTCATCCATAGCTTATTCTTTATATAATATAACACTGGAAGGGTCAGCAGACTACTTTTGGTTTGTATTAACTTTTTTCTTCAAAATGACGATGCTAAAATGACAAAGTGGATTTAAAGATAGCTTGACCTAAGGCACAGTTTGATCTATCACACCATATATCATTTCATGTAATGAATAAGGATTTTATGTAATTCTCTTAGTCTGCATAAGGAAAACAAAAACAAATTGAGTGGGGGGTAAGTATGAACTATTGCATGATTGCATCATAAATCAAGTTTAACTGATGAAGAATAGAATTAAATTCATATGGTAGTTGCACAAGCACGTGATCTGTTTTGTTCAGATGGGCATGGGTTATGTCACTCGACTAGTTACTTGTACATAGATAATCTCATACATCACCTTTTATACCCTAAATTCATCCATAGTGCAACTTTTCAAATCTTATCTTTTCTCTCCATTTCTATTTAAAAGAAGTAGAAATGGTGATCTTATCCCTCATCTTTCAAGGCTTTGTATAGTTTGAGGCTTAAGTCCGAGAATAGAGGCCTGAGTAACCAAGGTAATATGAACAATTATACTAAGAAAAAGAGTAGCTGTGGCTTTTTTGCAAACCTTCACCAAAGCTATGTCTACAAAGTGAGCCAGTTAAAAATCTGCATAAATAGCTGAATGTAACCAAGACAGTGGATGTTTCAGTATGTGGTGGGAGAAAACTGATTACCAATGTTTTAAGTGTCATAATGATGTGTGAATACTAAGCCTTCATTATTGAAGCTAATTCTTGTTTTACTTTTGGTTTTTAAAAATAAATCATTTTTTTTTCTTTCATCTGTTTGTGACTATTTGGGTTCTGCACCTGTATGATGGATGTAATGATTCTTTACAACATTCCTGTGAATTATTAACTTGTTGATCAGACTTCTTGGACGAAAAGGGTTTTTGTTTCATCTTGTGTAGCTTTTAACTAAGAACTTGATTCCATTTGTTCTGCATCAACAACTGCTTTCCATTTGTTTTGCCTCTTAATAGTGTTACTTCCCTCTGCTTTTTCAAACTGTGATGACAAGTTTTCCATTATGTTTATTTCTTTTAGAGTGTGAATATAGAGAAGCTGCAGGGGACATCCATCAACATATCTACTGAAGATGGGCTGCTGAAAACTAAGTATCTCTATGCAGAATCATCATCTCTGTCTTCAGTAGCTGGTGATATTCTGCTGGGAAGTATTCATGGTAAGAAGGAAATACTGTCATATGGTTAGGGAAGTACTGTCACAAATTCAGCTGCTTGGAAGGTATTTGTAACGTTCACAGTAAGAAATGGACTGATGCTATAGACTATCACTAAATCAACTGTGCGCAGTGTATGAACAAAAGAGTTCTGTATTTGTTGGAGCCTGAATTGATGAGAATTAACTTACCATATAGCATACTGTATTTTTAAAAACAATTTTATAAGCATGCTCGTCAAATAGTGAAAAATGTATATTATAGGAAAGAAACATCACACGCATTAAGGATGTCAAAATATTTTAAAACTCAGTAATGAAAATTATACTAAAATTAAAGAGACTTCTCTTCCCCTCTCTTCACCCTTTATTTTCTTCATAGGAGATGTAACTCTTACAGCATCTACTAAGAACTATGGTAGAACTCAGTTGTATTGCTATGTTTTTAGCAGAAATGGTCTGTGTGTGTGCTAGCACCTTATACTGATAGAGTGGTGACAGTTTGTTCTTTGACTGCGAGGAAGAAAGTCTAATCCATCTACCCATCACTGTCCTTTGCCTAGAACTAAAACTAATTAACTTGAGTGTTTTTTATATAAACAGCAGTCAGGGGTTGGAATCTGGTGTGGTTTTCTAATTTAACAAAATTCCCACTGAATTCTGTCTGTCCTGTAATGCGTTTGTGGTGATTTACTGTTAAGTAAAACAAACTGGAGGATGTACAAAGAAAATTACTCGGGTCAGTCAGAGTTCCCGATTTCCAGCTATATGCCTTATAAACAAATTGCTGCAATTTCTTAGCAATTTTGTGTTGTTGTCTTGAAATGACTCTTGTTTTTTAATTAAAGGAGCAACTCCTTTGTTCATTTGGAGTAAAATTAAGACTTGTTTCTAAACCTGTTAGGTAAAGTTCACTTGCCATGCGTAGCCAGAAATGAGATTTTTTTATTTTTTTTTTTTCCTAACATATAGACTGTATTGTTACTGGTATTTCTGTCTGATAATCTGCTTTTGGGTTTTTTTTTTTCTAACTTCAAACCAATATAATGATACTGTGTAATGATCAGTTGTGAGCATGTTCATGCCACTGTGCACATCCAAAAGTTTATTTCTGTTTCTTGGTAAAAAAATAAAATAACTGCTGTAGTTAGTGACTTACTTCCTCAGTACTGCCTCATGTCATTTAGCTGAACAATGGTGTGAAAACAAATAGAATTGTATCCAAATTATACAGACATTTCTTAAGTTATTTCAGGGTTATTTTCATGAGCGCTCTACGAAATGGATCTGGAACACCTAATGTTATTTTGGCTGTTTCTTTTAAAATCAATTGCACATTGACATTTGCTTGGTACTTCTGTTTCTTTCAGAAATATATTTTCTGCAAAACATCAGGGTCCTCAGTTATGTTTTAATAGTAAGAGCAAATACTTTTAAAGTATTTTAAATTATGATATTGCATATATACACACACACACATGTATATATTAGTGGAAAAGATAAACTCCTAATTTTGTGGTAGAAAAAAAATTGATCACTTTTACTTCTGGTCTTTGCTCATGAGGTAGCTCAATTTTAGTAGTAGTTTTGTTTCTAAACACTTAGACAGATTGCTTCTTGGGCAATCAAACCCACTATTACCCTATAGCTGACGGTATCCTGATATTATACTTGGCATAAAATCAGCACATTATGAACACAACTGGGCAAGACTTCATTGCTTTTGAACTGAGAACTCCAAAGTCAGGGCAACACAAACTTCACAAACCTGCCTGAGACCTATTTTGTAGTTGAAACTTGGGCTGTACAATTCCAACACTGTCAGCTTGAGTGCATACTTGGCTCAGGAAGGGTCTGAATAGAATTAAAATTAGGACCTGAAAGACCAAACTGGCTCTGTGTAGAAACACTATAATGATTCTGTATTGCAGTCCTTAAGCAATCCTATAAGTGATACCGTATTCAAAATTCTTGCTGTCCAATGCCTCAGATTATGGAGGCATAAGCATACAATCAGAAGTTAAATTTTCTTTGCTGTCACAAAAAACAAACAGACAAAAAACCCCAGCAGCGTGATAGTAGCAAAATATAGAGAAAAGATTCTCCGAGACCTTTATTTTTAAAGTGAGTGCATATTGTATGCACCATGTATTTCACATTGTTAAAACTGGTATTTTTGTTATTGAACAAAAATTACTCCACTGGTTTTTTTATAAAATGACTGTATTACTGTTATCAGGATCAATAAAAATGGTAGTTTGAACATTTGACTTTTAATTTAAATTGAATTTAGTTCACTTCTTAATGTCTGCTAGATTTCACTCCTTGCAGTACATAATTATTGTGTTGATGCTGTTCTGGTAATTAAAAAAATAATAGAATTTAAGATTTTACTTAGAAGTATTTTTCTTAAGCAATTTTCATATTAAAATTACTGCCTCTGAAAGTTGTACATTTTACACTACAAGGAATTTGAATAATGCTGTCTCAAAATAACAAAAGAGCTTGCATTTTGCAGGCACCTTTTCATGTAAAATCTAAGTAATTCGTATGTCCAATAAGAAAGCTAGACTGGGGACTGTTCCCAGCATATGTCTCAGATCTGAAGTTGTTAAAATATTTAAGATACCCTTAGAATGGGAGATTAAGATATCTACGGAAATATCAGTGAGTACACATAGCTTTTTTTGTAGTCCAGCCCACAACTGAAGGGAAGGGGGTAAATGGTTCCTATTGAATCTAATCAGTCTTACAAAGAAAAAAATGCTAAAGGTAAAAGAATGTGCATGTAGGCATTTTTAATTGCTCTTTTACATGCTTCATACTTGTATGGTAAATGAATAATGCACTATTTTGAAGAAATTGTTTTTGAGTTATTTTAATCAGTTTCTGTAACAGGCATTACAGATGACAGATGCCATTTATTTTTCTAGTTGACACTTGAAAACCAAAAGGACAACACCTCTCAGACTGAGAAATGTGCTACTTTATCCAAGGGGCAATAACATTATAGTGAAAATTCTCCACAGAGGGGCAAATAGGAGAAAAGGGAAGCCCCTCTTTGCAACTGTGCCGAAGTCTTGGATTGAGTTGCATTATTAATTTATTGTGTTTACAAAATAGTTTTTGTTGGACAGGAATTTGACATCTAGTCCAACCCAATGCTTAAAGTGGGCTCAATTAGAGCAAACTTGCTCAAGGCCTTGTCTGGTTGAGCTTCAATTGAATATTCCCAAGGACAGAGATTGCATGACCTTTCTCAGTGACTTGTTCCAGTCCTGAATTATCCTTCTGGTGGGAAACGCCTTTTTTTTTTTTTTTTTTTTTTTTTGAATAATAATTTCCATGATGGCAACTTGTAACCATTATCCCTTCTTCTTGCTGCATCACCATGAGAAGAGTCTGTCTCTTTTCTCTATACCCTCCCATTAGGTAGTTGAAGACCACTAGAAGATTCCTCCTCAGCCTTCTCCTTTTAAAGCAAAACAAACCCAGCTCTCTGAGAGTCTGTAGCGTGCTCTGGGCCCCTAATCTTCTCAATACCGCTCTCTGGTCTCACTTCAGTACATCAGTGACTTTCTTGACTGGGAAGCCCAAAATTGGACACAATATTCCAAATGCAGTCTCACAAGAGGGCTTTACCTGTTGGCTATACTCTTAATTATGCAGCTCAGTATGCAGTTGACCTTCTTTACTGACCCATACTGAAGATGGTGTCCATCAAGATGCCCAGGTCCTTACCTGCGAAGCTTCTTTGCAAACAGTCAGCACTCAACTCTTACCGCTATACAGGGTTGATTTGTCTCATGTGCAGGACTTTATATTTGGTTTTGACCTTTTCTTTTGTCATAGTCTAGTGACTATTTCATTATGTGAGAGAATCACATTGGGAAACATGGTTATTGCAGTTACTTTATATATTCACATACTAATGAATACATAGGAAAAGATGAACATATAGCTGCCTTATTCAGGTCACTGACAGGATAAGACAAAGTAGAAAACCTGCAGTGTTTTGAAGGTAGTACAGTATAATGCTTGAGCTTGGCACTCTATAATCCCTTCTGAAAAGAATCTGATGTATGTTCCATAAAAGTATGTTCCATAAATTTTAGGTATGTTTCTGGATTTCACTGTATATAAAGGGATTGTAGAAATTAACTTTATTTTTGTTCTCTTTTAGGCATGTCACTACTTTAGTCTGATGCAAATTTAAAATGCAAAGTCAAAGTGTTAAAAAGCTGTGTGGTGGTTTATTTGCTTTTTCTGGGCATCAGAATAACCCTGCCACCTCAAGAGCCTTCAAAACAAATTGAAGGAATGGAAGTAATAGAATGTAAAGTGATGCCTTTATTTATACCCCCAAGCCATCTTTTGGCCCTGGTCCTATACTGAACCTGACTTGCAATACTGTAGTTTGAAGTTTTGTAGTGTTTATGGAGAAGCAAAGCTTGTACATGATAGAAAAGATAACTGTTTCTTCAGAAGCAATAAAAATAAAAATGCTGGCATGTTGTCATCAATATTCTGTTAAAACTATTTTATTTTGGACTTTATAGTATTGCACTACATTGCTAAAGTCAGTTGGATGTAATAATCAAACTAGCAATTACCTCTAGTCAGGTCTTTCTCTCTTTGCCCTTGACCTGTCTAAAAATACTTGGCTAGCTTAAAAATTGTTAGTCAAGTGTCGGCCTTCATGGAATAATTACACAACCAAAAGTACACTTCTGTGCACTGTCTGTAGACACTGCAGGTCCCAACACAGCAGGATGTTCCTATCTGCTTTAACAGTGATTTTTTGTTCTAGCTAAATGTTTGAAGTGATCCTATCACACGAATATGTTTACATTATGCAACATTAGTCATATCTGCCATATAAGGTTGTGGGTTATAGGAGTTTGATTTCCAAATGTTTAATATTTTTCAAGGACCTGCTTATCAAAACAGAAAACAAAAAAACACAGAACAACAAAGAACAGAACAGCAAATCCACAAGTCCCAGGGGCTATATTGAGACAGAGTATAATCTAGCTTCAGCCCCATGGGAGTTGGCAGCTGACACAACCCTAGGCTTTTTAGTAGGTTGTACAAAAATAAGTACTAGTCATGATAAAATGGGGAAAAGGGTGGGATAGTTGCAGTGTGCCATTTAAAAACAGCAATCAATAAAGCCAAACATCTTTCAAATTCATTGAAATATGGTTTTGTTTCAACTCTGATTTTCAGAACCCCTAAGTATTTTGTACAGTATGTGCTTGAAATGATGAATTAAAAACTATTGATGATAGGCTGCTTTTCTAGCTTTCAGCCCACAGACCACTAAGAAAAACACTACAGATCATATGCAGTAGAATACATTCTGCCCTAATGGCTGTCTACTACCATGTAATTACAGAATATGGAAGCAGAGCTTGATTTTTTTTTTATTTTTTTTTTTTCAAATTTTAAAGGTATCTTCCAAAAAATTTGAAAATTGTTGTATTACTAAATTGGAGTAAATTACTGTGATCCACCTCATTTTTTAATCTGTTGTCCTCCTGGGAGGATGAGGGAGTGGCAGCAATGACATGCTGTGGTTTAGTTTTTTAATTTAAAAGGTGTTTTGTGAGGCGATTATACAGGTGTAGCATACATGGAAGTTTCTACCAACTTTGTTAGACTGTTAGTAGTATAGGTGACTTTTCTGTTATGAGGTACATCTGTCTTTCCAGATTCACTTGATGCCATAGGTAAATAGGAAGAGTATGTATTTTTAGATTTTTAAGGCTAAAACACCAGTGCCTGCTCAAAGTAATGGTGTTTCAGGAGGAGAACATTCTATGTTTTATGCCTTACACACTCTTTTGTTTGATGTTCTCCAGTCTGTCCAACACACTCAGATCTCACTGAAGTCAATGAAAAGCATTGACAAGGGGTTTTCATGCACAGAAGAGTAAGTCTGGAGGGAGCAGGTAATGTTCAGTGAGTCCTGGAAGTAGCCTTTGAGGATAAAGCAAAAAATCCCCTCTCGTTGGACAGGGGTGGGCCATGTATGTGTGCATATAAAAGAGGAAAATAGAAGGTGTTTATGTTACCCATCCTATTAAACTACTTAAAATCATCCATAGTGCTGTTGCAGGCTTCAGAACAATTTTAAAAAGGCCCAAAATAAAATATGAAAATATTGTGCTTTAGCCTCTCAATGCCTCTCTGCTTTTCTCTCCCTCACATTCGGTCTGTGTCTTTCAGCTTTACTCAAAGTGTTTTAATTGTCTGGAATCACTTCATTGTTACCCACATGTGTTGAGATTTTTGTTTGTAAAGCAGTACTACTCAAGCAATGTAACTGGTTTATGGTATTTTGCTTTTATATGCAAATCAGATATAACTACAATCCTTGTATAGGATCACATTACTTTAGCCTTTGTTATGATTTCAGAAACCAGTTAAATAATGTTTTTAACATTTTTTTTCCCCTTTTCTTTTCCTAATAGGTAACACCAGCCTTCAGACCACAACAGGGAGTATCACAGTAGGTACGTTCTACCTTCTCTCTGAGATATCTCATTTCTAACTCTTCCCTTCTGCTTTCTAAATGCTAAATATTCCCAGTGAAAGCAAAAAGGAGGTGATTCTTCACAGATGTTTCTCCCCTTTTTTCTTTTGAGGAATAGCACTGATAGCTTTGTAGCTGAAGGAGATCCTTTCCAAACTTGACTGTCAGCCTTTTGCAGTTGGGCAAGGCACTCTGCTTTTGATACCACAATACCTGCTGGGCTTTGCACAAATTATACTGAGTATATAGGTGTCATCTTTTAGATTAAGTTGGTATAAAAGGACATGAGAAAACACTAAGCGTACATCAAATCTTTTTGCCTTTAACCTAGTTCTCTATCTTACATTTGTTGATATCAATGATTAGCTATGTTTAATTTTCATATCACAAAGCATTACTCATTCATGTATTACATATTCAGAGGGGAAAGGCCTGTGGTAATTTAAATGTTTCCAAACAATTATGCTAAATATTGTTTTCCCTTCAGAAATAAAAACCGGCTCATAAATTTTCTTTCAGGAACTTGAGCTTTTATACAACAGGATAACTTGGACTTATCAATTATGTTATACATTATATCAGCTGCATTTTATAGTACATCAACACAAAAGCGAGAAACTCAAACTCTGGTTATTTCTATGGCAGAAAATTGAAGTAACAGAATCATAGGCAAGGCTCAGTGTCTCTTGAACGCACGTAGAAGGATTTCCCTTTCTGTAAATAAACTTGGTTACAGCTCCAAACTCAAAGACTTCTGATAATGGTAGTAACCATAGACACTCACTAAGCATTGTTCAGGGATGATTTGTACTGTTGCAACTCTTCTTAGGTTTCTAAGCAATCTATATTAACATTCCTGGAAAATAAATGCAATACACATTCTTATGAGTTAGTCATTAAACCACAGAATTAAATTAAGCTTGCTAGTCTGTTTTTCCTTCTGTTAAATAAACTCATAGAGTATGAAGTGTGTTTAAATAATTCTTAAGATAGGTAGGCGGTAGGTTTTTCCATCAACAGATGATGATTATTTTCCTTAATTAACCAGTTTCAGCTTAAACATTAATACACATCTTTACAGTTGAATAAACTTTATTTTTCAGATTTCAATTCTGAAAGCTCTTTTCCCAAAGAGCATTAAACATCCTTTAGATTTTTATGGATTTTTCCAAAGGCAAAAGACTTTTAAAAGCCAGTGGTTCGACTCTAAAAGCTGGGGAAAGAAAATGTAAAGTTTTAAGAGAAAGATTTTGTGTATGAGAAATTTATGCCAAAGATTGCTTGTTAGATTGCCAGAGACCTGATGGGGATTTGCTGATAGAAATAGGAAGAACAACTCGGCTCTTCCAACTTCCTTGGCTGGGTTTTCATAGGGGATGTAGTTATTTATTTCACTGGAGGCAGAATTTTATCAATTAACTGAAAACAATGCTCTCCTTTCTAGATTTTGGGGCTGCATTCTTTGCTTTTGAGAGATTTATTTACAAGTCAAACTTGAGTTGAGAGTGCTACATTTTTTTTCAAGATATTTTGGGGAAAATAAAAGTGACTGTGTTGACAGTTTCTTATTCCTGTCTATGTCTGCATTAAAACAGTAAAGCAATGCTGTTGGCTCTCACTCTCTTTAAGTTTCTGGGGTTTTTTGTTATTTGTAGAATAGGTGTTTTTGTTTTTTATTTTGGTGTTACTTGTTTGTATAAATGTGTTTTTAGTTTTTGAAAACTATCCAAAATTCAGTCTGATTTTTAAGCATCTGGCATATGGCAGTGTTTCACATTACATTGTTAAAATACGAAAGTAGGAACTATTTCTTTTTTTATTTTTTTCCTATACCGTGAGCTTTGTTAGTCACTGACAAATTGTTTTCCAACCCTACACTAGAAGCTTCCTACTTCTAACAAATGTTCTATGAGTTTTGAATGACTTCTTAATTTAAAAAAAAAGACCTATTTTTGCTTCTAGTTTAAGTTATTCCTTAAAATAATCATTAGAAATATGAATTATCTTGCAAAAAGTAATGGAGTACTTTATTTTTAGAACTCGCTTAATCTTTTTTATTTTATTTTATTTTTATTCAATAAATTCGTAGGAAAACTCAGGTTGGAAGAGACCTCAGGAAGTTGCAGAATCATAGAATGGTTGAGATTGGAAGGGACTTGTGGAGGTTGTCTTGTCCAGACACCCTGCTCAAGCAGTCTCTAGTCTCCAACCTCCTGCTCAAAGCCATTCCAGCTGTGCGGTTGCTTAGGGCTTTATCCTGTCGTCTTGAAAACCTCCAAGGATGCAGACTGCACAGCCTCCCTGGGCAAACTGTTCCACTGCTTGACTGACATCAGGGTGAAAAAGATTTGCCTTCTATCCAGACTGAAATTCTTGTTTCAGCTTATGTCTGCTGTCTATCCTTCTCTCATCATGTACCACTCTGAGGAGCCTGGCTTTGTCTTCGTGATCACCTCCTTGCAGATACTGCCAGGTCCTGAAGCAGTCTGTTCTCCAGGCTGAGCAAGCCTTCATCCCTCAGCCTCTCCTGGTGGGGAAGGTGCTCCATGCCCTAACTATCTTAGTGCTTCTCTGCTGAATTCACTCCAGTTTATGGCTGTCTCCCTTCTCTTAGGAGCCCCAACACTGGATGCTGTATTCCAGGTGTGGTCTAATAAGTGCTGAGTAGAGGGGGATAATCCCTTCCCTTGGTACACTGGCCATATTCCAGTTAAGACTGCCAAAGATACTGTTGGATTTCTTTTCTGCCAGGGCATACAGTTGGCTCATGTTCAGTCCTGCTAGAATTTGCTTATTCTTCAGTGGTATTGGTATGGCCTGATTGTATATTCTCTACTCTGCTGCCAAGCCAAAATTTCCCCTACTAGCTCAAAAAAACCCTGTTTTTCCTTACTGGGTTACTTATGTTTAATGCAATTATGTATTGAAGAAATTAATCTTCTATGTTTGGTATAGTCAGAAATGATAAAGCTTACAGTGGTTGTGTCATTTCAGAGCCTTAACCAGCTTATGGGCAGCAAGGACTCTTTCTAGCAAGGAAATCTGTATGTTGAGATCCAACTCTCTATGTTTTTAAATGTCTGTGTCAGTTTGCCTTATTCTGCTAATTTCTTTCTTCAGTAACCCACACTAGATGACCTAAAGGCTTCAGTGACTTGCTGTGATGCTCAGTCTTAAATCAGCAGAAACTTAACAATTAAGAACAGTCAAACTTTCTCAAAAACATAAATTTGAGAATAGTCCTGACATGAAAGTGAACTGAGGTGTCTGATATCCTCCTTTGTGATGAGAGTGGTGTAATAAGGCAATTCCCTAGTACTGAGACAAACACCAAAGGTGTTTGTTTTTTTTTTTTCTAGGAAGGGAATCAATTATGGAAAACAATCAGGGTATTTAAGATAGTTTTGGATAACTGAAAAATAAAACAATAAACTGGTGTATTTATAAGTAATGCTGCATCTGTGGGTGTTATCTTCAGAATTCCGTTTTTAATAGTGATCCAGGGAATTTTTAAATTAAAACCCTCACTTCTGAATTCCATTAAAGGCATTTACTGTAATTCCTAAAGTACAGCTCTTGAGTACTTAAAAATAATCCATACACACATTTCTCTTCTAATAGCAATTAGTTCTAGTGACTAGTCTTTGCCATCTGCTTGAAGTATGTTAATGTTCTGGCTCTCATTTTAAGTGTCCTTCATCTTCCAACCTTATATTGCAGAGCTTTACCATGTTCTGTGTTCTGCCCGTGACAGACCTGTAATTTTTTTCCCATTGTTCCCATGCTTTATTTCACACCATGCTATATGAAGGGTGCTGCTCTCAAAAGCAGCTGATTTCAACCTGCCTGTTCTTATCTCTCAGGTGTCAGATTAAGAAAAATGAAAGTTTAAAAAAAATAGTCCAATAGTTAATATCTACTGAGTTACTACTTGGTTTTATCACCAGTCATTGTTTCCATGTTCCCCTTCCCTCTCTCTGTGTCCTTTTTGAATGTAGACTATATCGCGTTTTGGACAGAGCTTGTGTCCTGGAAAATCTAATTCCAAAAATTGGAGCATACAGGAAAAAGCTGCTGTGTGAGAACAATAGGGTTTTCCTTGCAGCTTAAAAGAATAAACATTTTTACTTCTGTATGAGTTCTATTAGCAATAAACAATTTTGGTGATGTTACATCATATATGTTCTATAGCATTGCATGATGGCACTGAAGATTCTAGATGATGTTACAGTAGTACTTAAGTTTATATTGGTTTTGGAACAATATTTTTTCCTGACTTTTGAGATATATATTTTATATTTGTAGAATGTATATTTTGCTACCGTTGTCAGTTCCTATTTGTAGCAGAGCAATGAAGGACCATACCACCCGTTTCATCCACCAATGGATGAAAAAACTTTTGTTCCAATATGGACCTAACCAGTCTAGATTCCAGACAGCAGAAATATAACTACACATCGAAGTATGATCCAATTACAGTAACTTCCAACAGGCAGTATTTTCCTACAGATATGATGTGTGAAAGTCTCTCATAGGATGCCACAAATGGAAAAATAACAGATTTTTCTGAAAAGGTGTTTCCTTTCCTCACTAGTTGAGGTGCACTGAAAGCTCTTGGTAATTGAATTCAAAATGCTCTCATGTTTCTTTAAGTACTATCACTATTATTTAATATACATTAGGTACATTCTAAGAAATGTGGTATCCTAGAAGTATTAGGCTTGTTCATTGTATTTCAAACATACGTTTCCCACTTATGCCACTCTTAATCTACAAAAATTTACGTAATGAAGATAAAATTTCCATGGATTTAAATCAAGAGAACAAGTCTGAAACTCTGAATCTATGCAGAGCTAGACTAATGCATTTGTCCTTCTTGAAAAGAAGAAGCTGTGATATAAAACAACTGCACGTCTCATGCATATTAAAATACAGGGCTGGGTTTAGTATTGTAGAATACTATTTATTTATTAGATCTTG